TTTTTTTCAGTTTTAAGTATTTTTTATGTTTAATTACATTTATATCAAAAATTGCTAAGAACTAAAGCGATTAAGGTAGATTTAGCTGTCCTTTACATCCATAAACGTTATATGTCAGCGGAACAAGTGGAGTGAGCTTTGAGCGTTCCACAATTTTTGGAGACTGTCTATACACGGGCTTCCTAAACAAGCCTACATGTATGTTTGTCCAAGAAATTTTTGGATGAAATACAAACTGCACAACTTCAAAATCGCATAAAAATAATCCGCATAAAAAGAGACCTTACAGTATTAATCTCCCAATACAAACCTCTTTTTGCAAAATTTTAGAAATTCTGTAACAAAAAACACAGGAGTTATTAAGCTTCAAAGTTGGTGAAGAAAATGGTGCCCTACACACATGCATATGTATACATACATACATACATACAAAAAAATATCCTTGACTGTTTTACATTTCTTGATTTTTCAAGGTCTTCCCAAGTCCAAAATCATAAAAGTCTCAGGGATCATTTTTTGACCAATTGACATACTTTTTCTTTGTTATGTATAAATAGCTGGGAAAGTAAAATATAAATTATTGATTTAAATTAATTTGGATTTAAAAAATACTTGTTTCATAAATTTTCTGTATTGAAATTTATGAAATATTGAATTTTGTTATTTTTAAATTGAAACTAGAATATTTTTGATCTTGTCTTCAAACTGAAAGAATTAGGTTACAGTCATTTCATTAATAATATAATATAATTATATTATGAAGTAATATTGTTGAGACTGTGCTGTGAAAGTATCAGTAAAAGAAATTCTTATTGATGATGATTATGATGATATGGCAAAACATATTTTTTGGATTCAGAAGTTGGATGATGATATGAATTTATAAGATTCTGTTTAAAATTTTCTTTTCAAGTTTTAAATGATTTTAATTAAAAATAATTAACATAATTCAATTTGATTTATTACTACAGTACATGACTTTCTGTGTGATGTTAGTAATGTTGGCATCTGCCACATTTCTGATTCTGACTACCGTCCAGAAGCTAGTATTGCTACTGACCTTCTCCTTAATATACTGTACCTTAATACTTTTGACACATGTTTATCTGTTTGACATGTATGATCATCTATTGATTCAAAAATTTGGGTAAGAAGCTTTTAATAAATAGCAATTCTCTACTTAGTTTCTAACTTTCAACAAATACATTTTTATGTAAAAGTCTTTTTTTTATATATTTTATTACATTATTCGAAAAATTTATTTGATAAACTACATTAACTTTTGATACCTTTTGAATTACTTAATAAAACTATTAAATGTAATGAAATAATTTATATATATTATCATTATTATGTTTGTTATTAATTACAGGAAATTTTATTTTTAAACATAAACTACTCTCAAGCATTGGCTATATTTTAGTAAATGTAAAAATAATCTAAAAAACTACTTAATAAAATATGTAAATATTGAAATAATTGTGGAAAATTACTTTGTTAAAATGATTATTAATGTAAAGGCTTATCCAAAATCAGTTAACCATGATTTATTTTAAAATTACTTTAAGAATGATTAAAACTACTATGAATCAGTTGCATGCTATTAATTTTGGTTTAGTCGCTTCCTAAGAAACAGCCAAATCATGGATAATAAAATTTAGCTGTTCTAAATTGTTTTTTAAACAATTCTTTAAAAAATATTTTGATTAGATGATTAGACCTCCTCCTATAATATTAATGTTTACTTCATAAAATACATATATTGGAGCTTTACTATGTTATTTTATATTAGATTCTTTTCATTAATTATAGTTAATTTTTGTTATTATTATTAACTTTTACAAAAATTACTTAATTAATAAATAATTTTAACATCTATTTTTTTCCTATAACTAAGAATGCATGACAAACTAAAAGTAAATAAATTATTTAAAACTGAAAGAAATATTTTAAAAAATTTAGAAGATGCAATTAAATTCTCTCTATATAAGAGACCTTGTACAATTTCCTATTAAAGTCCTATGAACTAATAACTCAAGAACAACTTGACCAATGCAAATGGTCTTTTTTTCACTTTTTATGGTTTTAAAGGCACTTTTAAATTAAGTTGCTCCTTGCCATCTTTTATAAGGAGACAGAGAAACTTTAAAATTTCAAATAGAATCCTATAGAAAAGTGTATATTTTTGAATTGTATAGAAAAAGACAAACTTTCATCTGAAACATTTTTTTTATAATGTACAGTACATCTATTAAAAGTTGTGGACAGTTGAAGCTTTGAGTTCATTTTAATTGTTGATCAGTGTTAATTGATAAGAATGCAGTATTACACTACAAGTGTAGGGTGTATCAAAAGTCACTATCTATTATGAGAACTAATTGGAATTATGAGAAAGGGTTTACATATTTTATTTTTTTAGTAATAAGGTCTGGAATATTTAAACATTTATAGGTATTTCAACATACTTATAGATAGGAATTGCTGGATTGGTTGTGGGCAACACGCTCTTTCAATTTAACACCCTTAGATTTTTATGCTTGGGGTTTCATTAAATCTAAGTTATAAGGTAGGATAATTAACAATGTTGCTGAACTTAGAAATTTTATTACTGATGCAGTTCAAAAGATAACACCACAAATGCTGGGAAGCATCCTGTTGCTTTGAGCTATGTAGAGATATTGATGGTCATCATGTGGAGCATTAATTATTTGTAACATATACTTTGAATAAAGCTTTTTCTCAAATTAAAACCTGTTTTTCAAAATTCCAATTATTTCTTGTGATATTATTATAGATAGTGACTTTTGATACCCCCTGTATCAAAAGTCACTATCTATTTTGTCAGTTTGGTCAAAAGTTTGAACATTTAATAAAATAAACATTCATTTCTAAACATTTATTTATTCTTATTACAAGACTCTGTTGACTTCTGCACAACATTTATGTATTTTGTTTCATGACTTCTCTTGTAGTAGGTAGTAGGAATATCGTTTTTTCATTGGTATATCTCAATAAGTAATTGAGAGGAGTGAGTTCAGGTGAAGGAGGGCCTATTGAACAGGTCCTTCCTCCAAATTCATCTGTTACCAAATTCCTGGTTTAATAGTGTATGCATATCTCTGGCATATGTAGTGGCGCATCATCTTGCTGAAATCATGTTTCTTTTCTCAGTTTTAATAGTAAATCTTCTAAAAGTAAAAAGTAAAATCTTCTAAAGGTAGTTGATTCCTTAATTAATAAATTAGTATAGAATTAAGTATTGGCAGAACCATAAAAAAATGGCCCAATGACAAAATTACTAATTTTACACCACATTTATTGACCAATATTGAAAAAGAACAGTTCATATCAACTGGATTTCTCATGTGACTAGTAGTTTAAATTATTCTTATTAATTTGCCCAGTGTTAGTAAAACTGTGTTATCTGCCATAGCATTACATGTACAAAATAATATGTAGCACTCATAATTTGCTTCCAAAACATGATGATTTAAAATTAATGATAAGCATATTTTTGATCTTTGAGAATTTTACATACCAAAGATTTTTGCTAGATCACATACATGTGGATCTACTGTAGCTGCTAATGAAAATGTTGACAGTATTATCATTTGTTATTGGCTTTGCATTCTGGCATTTTGTTGTATGCAATTCACCATTGTCACAGATTTGATTTTTTAATTACAGAAACACATGGAAAATCGTTAATACTGCAGCAATCAAAAAATACTTCTGTTATATAATAAAATATATCAATAATATTTTCTACTTTTACATAGTATCAACAACATATTCATTTCTTCATCAAAAAGATCCATGGCTTTAGAAGCTTGACTGTTCACTTACCCAAGTGCATGATTCTGAGTAGTCTTGCTGTTTGATCCCGTGATTGGAGGGGGCTCGACTCAAAGCTTCAACTGTCTATAAATTTTAATAGATATAGGTTATAAAGAAATGCTTTAGGTAAAAGTTTGTTGTTTTTATTTTAGAATCTAAAAACACTTTTCTGTATAGTCCTGTTTGAAATTTGAAAATTGTCCCGTCTCTTTATGAAAGAGGACAAGGAACAACCTAATTTTATCATTATGAAGCTCTTTTGAAACCATAAAAATGATGAAAGCCATTTTGCATTAGTCAAGTTGTTCTCAAGTTATTAGCTTATAATATTTTGTGGGAAACACTGTATAAACATTATTATTTTATTTTAAAANTGATTATTTATTTCTAATTTTATTATTTAAATAAAATTATTATTTTAGACGTATCCATATCACAAAGGAAACTTTAAAATGTTTGAATGGAGATTATGAAGTTGAACCTGGTAATGGTGGTGAAAGAAATGCTTATTTAAGGGACCATAATATTGAAACTTATTTAATTATAATGGATGATAAACAAAGACCAGTGAACATTCGGCCAAGGAAAAGTATTGTAGCCCAGAATAGCATATCAAAGGAAATGAGAATGATTGGCCATACGGACAGTAATAATTCTGAAACGAGGTATGAATGTATTTGGTCAAAGTAATTACTGATTTTTTTAAGAAAGATTAAAACTAATTTAGATTTGAAAGAATTTATATAAAAATTGAAATGAATTATTTAAATATCTTCATTTCTTAGATATTGGCTTTTAATTTAAAATTGTCTCAGCTTATTAAATATATGCATATATAAATGTAAGAATTTTACTTAAATATAAAAAAAGTTATGTAAAGTGAAACACAGTTATATATTGAAATATTATTTAACAAGAGTGATGAATATGGAAGCTATAATCAGGAGACTGTTGGTAACCCTGTTCATATACACTGATCAAATGTCATTGCAGTTTATTGTAAATATAAGCTGATTTGGTTATAAGTCAATACCAAGATTTTCAGATCAAAATTTTGGTTTAGATTTATATCCTTTGTTATTAGTCAACTCCTAAATATAATATATTTATTTACCACATTATGGTAAGATAGTAGACTAGAACTGAAATGATATGGTATATAGTAACTCATGGCAAAAATATATAATAAGAGCACATCATTTTTATTGAGACACTACCTGCAATAGTTTTTAATATATGATATTCATGTTATATAGAAAGAGACACCAAGCAACCACTAAAGTTATCATGATAAGGACTGTATTCTATATCTAACAGTAAATACATTTAAGCAAAATCAACATCTCTAAGAAAATATTAATATCTTACATAATCAACACACTAGAACCTTTTTATATCCCAGTAAGAACAAATTTTAGTTAAAACTAATGTTTTTGACCATAATCATGGTCTTCCTCAGGCTTTTGACCAGTACAATTCGAATATGGAATGCATCGACAGACCCCAAAATACAAGCCCGACCTCCATAAGGTTAAATTGGTGAAAGTCAGGTCAGGTTGAGCACTTTTGCAACCTGGAAGCATTAGAAATATACAAAGCTGGCCTGGCTGGCATCTATATTAATGCAAAGGATGCTGGTAATGTTTTGTATGCGTGGAGGTGGTGCTATGAAAAAACCGAGAGCAACACTAGCATGTAGCTACAGTTTCTACGCCATTAATTACATCTTATTATTTATTTGTGGTGATGTAAGGATATTTTTATCACTATTGTAGCACATACTGCTAAAAATTATTTTCTAACATTTAATATTTCAGAAATTTTAAAATAATTTAAAACACATGTTTGATGTATTCCATATTGGAATTGTACTGGTCAAAAGCCTGAGGAAGACCATGATTATGGTCAAAAACATTAGTTTTTAACTAAAATTTGTTCTTACTGGGTTATAAAAAGGTTCTAGTGTGTTGACTATTATTCCCAGTGATTCTGCAAGAAGTTGTTTTAATATCTTACATAGCATATCATGCTAGAATTGCTACACATAATATATGATAGTGTATCTTTGTTTATTCATTGCCTGTACAGTTGGTTCCTCATCTGTTGAAAGCAGTCTATATGTTATGTTCATTTATGTTAAATTTTTATTATTACATTAAATAAGTTCAGTTAATGCAAGTTTTGGTTGGAAATGTTTGTGATGTACAGCAATTTTTAGCACTGTTCCACTTGTTTACCATTCTAGGTTTAAAAAGTTGACTTATATGCTAGCATATACAGTATTATCTTCTTTCTCAAGTTTTCATTCTGAACAAAGACAATTTTTCTTTATCAAAAAGTTATGTGACATCATTTTATCTTTTATTTGACTAAGAAGTTTTAAATGAGATATTTTATAGCTTAAACATACACATTTAAACAAAATTGTTAATGTTTTAGTATATGTTTTTAAAATTTTATTATTTTCTAAAAACACTTAAGTTTCTCTTTAATGTTACCCTATTAATCTATATGATTGTTTGAATTTGGTCCTATCACATGCATAATATATGATTAAATCAAAATGAAGAATTTGTGTAATTTAGTGAAATATAATTAAATATATGAATGAAACCAAAAAACTTTTTATCCAACAATTAAAGTTGTTTTCTTTTTCAGCATATGTCAATTCTGAATATTTTTTCAATACATACAGTAAAACCTGAATAAAACAAACCCTGTCTAAATGGGAAAAATTATTTGGAATGGAGCAATTTTCTGTTAAGAAAAAGTCCATTCAAAATGGAAATTGTCAAACTGGAAAAAATACTCGATACTGTATGATTCTGGTTTATGCAGGTTTTACTGTATGTATTTATTTAGCATTCTAGGTACAGAAATCTTTGATATGAGGAGACAACTATTAAAAGACTTACAATAAAATAATAAAAATGTAATTATAAAACTATAATAACTAACTACTCACAGGATGTCAGATAGAAGTCTCCCCAGATATATTTTTGTATACACTGCTTGACAATTGCTAGTGAACAGTGATGTTTTTTTTTTCATAAAATGTCATTGATTCAAGCAATTTTGTTACCATTAAATCTGCAGAGGGTATCGTTGTGCAATCCTTATATTTTGCAAAAAAAAAGTGTTCAGAAATCATTCTTAGTGTAAAATTTGCATCTGTAGGAATAACACATGCTAGAGGTTTGAAAATGGTAACACAATATGAAGATGGTTTCAGTGCATTATTTTCTTGTTTTTGTTGTCCTCCTTCTTTCCACAGTAAGGAATGCCTGCCATTTTATTTAATTAACCCCTTTTGACCTGGCCACTTTTTCAGGAATTTTTAATTAAGCATAAAAAATACTTAAAACTGAAAAAAAACAAAAGAAATGCGTTAATTTTGAAGAAAAAGCTGTGAAGTTTAAGTTCCTTTGTCTTGCCTTTCTGCGAAATTTAACATGGATGAGTCATTGTTTACACAGCTGGGTGATCTTGAACACAGCTGGAGTCGGATTTCCCCGGGGCATTCTCATAGACGTCTCGGGAGGACAAGGGTTTAAAGTAGGGTGAATAGGAACTAGGCCTATATTTTAAAATATTTTTAAAAAATTAAAAATTTTATTGCGATTTCNTAAAATAGTAATAATTTTTTTTTTAATTTTCAAGTTTATCCAAACAAAGTCATGTTCCATCTAAACATACTTCAGTGATAACTTTAGTGCTCTTTTTGATTGCTATGGTGATTCATGGACACCAAGCTGAAGCTACTTCTAGATTAGACTTTTTATGGAAGCTACAAGCTTTAGAAGAAAAAGAAGATATGGAACATTTACAAGCATATAATAGAAAATTATTAGCTAATATTCTTCCAGCTCATGTGGCTGAATATTTTTTAGCAACTGTTCGTAAAAATGAAGTAAGCTTTATCTGTTTTAGTTTTGAGTATAAATATTTTATTTATATAAGATTTTTACTTAAGATTCAAACATTTGTATTTTGTTATCTAAAATTAAAAGTGATGATGATTTTAGGATTTATATCATGAACAATGTGAAAGTGTTTGTATCATGTTTGCTTCAATTCCTAACTTCAGTGACTTTTATATGGAATTAGAAGGAAATAATGAAGGAGTAGAATGCTTACGTCTTCTGAATGAAATAATTGCTGATTTTGATGAGGTAAATTTCATAAACTTTTATTAATAAATGAATCTAATTATCTATAGGAAACATTTTTAATACTGGTAAATATTGTTAATATTATGGCATTTATTTCCAAAGAAATATTTCTATGAATAATCTGTTTGGTTGAAATATTATGATTAGAAATACAGTCGACCCCCCTATAAGATCATAGATACGTTCCATTTTTTAGGAATCCGATTTCTTACGAGTCGTTCCAATCACAGCCCGACACGTGTGAAGTTTACGGACTATGGCTGATTGAAAGGTTTTCTTCCATAAAATTAATCGATTCTAGACTAATNACGGGAAAAAAATTTTGAAAAAATTTGGAGACTTAAAAAACATCAAAAAAAATTTTTTTTTTTAAATGGCCTTAAGGACTGGTTTTTTGGAACACTAAGGACCACGCTCGAGTCAGACTCAAATATATCATAATGCCTCTACTTACATATGTTATGTTGGTTTTTCTTGACCAGTGTTCACTACTAATTGTCATGAAATGTCACTGTTCTCTAGCAATTGTCAAGCAGTGTACATGCATATTTACAGATTAAAAAAATATAATTTATTTTTAGATGGAAAAATACAGGAAATGATATAAAGAATCCACAAGAAGAAGTAAATGATTATCTGTCCAGAGCCATTGATGCACGAAGTATTGACAGACTAAGAGCTGAACACTGCAGAAGATTTTTGCTCACATTCCACAAACCAGAAGTGGAAGAAAAAGTATTTCTTAAATTTTTTATAACATGATTGATTAAATATAAAAGTTTACATTATTGTTTGTTTTCAGTATATGAAAGAAGGGGACCAAATGTTAGCAACATATATAATTTGTGCTGGTTTGATGTTGTTGTTTGTTCTTGTAATTCAGCTTATCATCGTTCCTCTGTAAGTATCAAAAATATAAAAATTACAATAAATATTACAGATATCATTCATTTATATTTTATTTTTTTACATTTTTTGTTTTTATATTTTAATATATTCAGGGTGTTTTAATGTTTATTCAGGAACAAGAGAGATCATTCCAGCATTGTATGGGCATACATATGATATATTAATTCCACTGCAACATTTAGAGTAAAATACATTAATTCATTGAAAAAAGGCTTATAAATTGCACATGAGTTCTGAGACAATATGTAAATTTCCAATGTATAAGGACAAGATGCAAATTAAGAATACAATGTTGATAAATTACTTCATAATATACAAATCCAATGCCCTTAAAAAAGACATGTCATCATGCAATCTGCTAACTGGCATAGTGATGAGAGAATGTGTTATAAGTTACTCTTGAACACTGCTGATAAAATTATAGCATTCCTCTTCATAAATTTATGTAGCCATCTGCTGTTTGCTTTGAATCTAGTATATCCCAGTTGTCCAAATTGTTCTGTAAAAAGTTTTCCACTGGAACATTTTTGTCTTTACACTGTACAAACTACTACAGCATGCTCTTTTCATCATCTAGATTAGTGATCTCCAAACTTTTTTGATCACATACCTTTAAGACAAAAATAATTATAAGTTGTACCCCTATAATATAATATAATATATATATATATATATATACTTCATTTGAATATGATTTTGATATGCTTTTCTAAAATACTGAAGAAGCAAAACAATGATTGATGAAAAATGAAAATTAATGCAATTATTCTCATCCTTTTTGAGTTATTGACACACTTACAATTTTTGGTGGCATACCAAAAAGCCATTGTTTCATCAAATATGTATAAGCAAAACACAAAATTCATAACCTGCATTTTTAATGATTTTTTTTTTTTTTGAAATTTTATAGCACATCTATGAGAAGTGTATGGCATATCACTGCTGTGGTATACCATACCAATGGCTGGAAACCATTACTGTAAAGATAGCAGCATCCTAATCCTAAATTCCAAGCTTGCAAGAATATTGCATTATGTATTATCATCTCGTGCATTTCTGGCTCCTTATTCTAATCTGTATTAAATGATAATCTCAGGTAGCCAATTATTTAACTTTACTACAATGGAACATTGTCCTGTTTTAGGACAGCTTTAGTGTCCTAATGAATATAAGCCACTGTTCAAACCAAGTTTGAGGTTTTATACTGTTTTTCACAGATAAACAATATTTAATTTTACATATTACATATGTTTACATATTGAAAAAGCATCTGAACATCATTAATGTAAAGGACTTGAAAAAAACTTGGACATCAGATAGACTGGAATACTAGAAACAAGAAATTAGGAGAATATAGTTAAATGCTTGCAGGACAGAAGAATGTTGAAGGTAGTTGATATAAAAAAGAATGTTAAAATTTAATACTTATAACTGATCTGGGTAGTAAAGTTAATACTGCACGTGTGTAGTTTGTTTTTATAAATTGGAATGCAAATATGTAGTTTTAAAAATTGCTTGATCCATCAAAAATGGTATAAAAACTTGATTCAGTTTGAACAGTGGCTTATATGCTTTAGGAAGCTGAAGTTGTCCTGAAACAGGATGAAAACATTCCTTCATAGCTGGTTACCTGAGATTAGCATTTAATACAGATTGCATTATGTTGTTAGGCTGTATCTTTTATTATGATGCCTTCTTACATTTAACTGATCTTTTAATTGTTTAAATCAGGGGTGTCCAAACTTTTTGCTGCAAGGGCCAAATTGGGATTTAAATACATTTGTGGCAGGCCATGTGAATATGTGAATTAAAAAATCTCATTATGACTAAGGCAGCATTGAATTTTATTTTTTACAGTTTATTACAAATACACCAATACTACACAAACATGGCTAAATTATACATAATTAGAAAATTATTTCATGCAACTTTTAATGGGAATAATAGAACTGTGTTTTTTATTAAAGAATTTCTTTAAAGTTGGGATTAAAATCTGAAACACCAATTATAAGCAGTGATTGCAAATGATCATCTGATAAATTTGCCCTGTACTTTGATTTCAGATACTTCATCCTGGAAAAAGTTTGTTCGCACATATAGTTAGTCCCAGACATACAAATAAATTTACAAGCAAATTGCTTTATATTTGGAAACTCTTTTGCATTCAAAAATTTGTAAAAATTGACTAAGTTTCCTTCCTTGTATTTATCCTTGATTTGTTCGTTAGCTTCAATAATTTCCATTTGAAACTGACTTGAAATGTCTGCAATGTTGCAGTTAAATTAATTTTGAAACAGCCGAATTTCCTTTGAATTCATGTCAAGATCAGAAAATCGCTTTTGAAATTCTTGTTTTAAATCTGCGATGACTTTTACTGCAAATCTGGTTGGAAATTGTTCATTTTCTGTATTCAGTTCTTTACAGCACGGGAAATGGGTAAAATTACATTCATTTGACTTTTGAGCAATATCGGCTTTTCCCTGAATGCTTTGATTTGCGTGAATAAATCACAAATTAAGTTGTTTTTATTTTGGAGCTTTAAGTTCAAGTTATTCATTTGTGTCACAACATCTGCAAAAAAGCCAACTTCCAGAGCCAAGTCAACCGACTCAGATTGAATTTGTTTGTGAAAAGATCAAAATTGATGATGATTGAGTGCATGTGATCAAATAAAATTTACGACATAAACAACTGGTTTCAAAACGCAGCTCATGTCGACATGTTTTACACATAGTGCTTGTTGATGGATAATACAGTGCAGAAAAATTAATACTGATGCTCCTGCACCTTCACAAGCTTTTCTAATTTGCCCAACCACATCAATGTTTGCATCAGACATGTTTCTTCCTCCATCAATTGTCATACCTTGGAGTTGATTCCAGTCCAAGTTATACTTTGTCAATGTTTTTTGTACTTTGAAGATATGTTCTCCAGGTGTAGTGCTGTGCATGCTGTTAACGGAGGATAAACCTTATGTGACATTAAGTTCGTCATCAACTCCACGAACAAAAACTAAAAGTTGTGAGGTGTCACTAACATCATTTGATTCATCCATCGTGAGAGAGAATACCGAGTGAAATTCTGTGCTTTACCAGTAATCTGGTGGAGAATATTGTTTCCAATATCGTCAATTCAATGAGCAACAGTATTAGGGGAAAGACTGCTCATTTTGAAGTGTGTCAACTTTTCTGAGTACAACTCACCAACAGCTTCCATCATACACTCTTTAATGATGTTTCCATCCATAAAGGGATTTCCTTCTTTCACCAACAAATAAGCAACTTTCATGCTAAGATCAATGCTTCATTTTCTGAGTTTGCCTTCCTAAATAAATTTTGCTGAGTACACAAACTATGACTCATTGTTTCAAATTTTTCAGTACTCTGCTTGTCCTTAAATTGTGAATAGGTTGAAGCATGTTTTGTTTCATAATATCAATGTAAATTATATTCCTTTATTACAGCAAGTGTCATTGCAAATTACACATACAGCTTTGCTATTCTTTGACTGCGATTTCACAAAGAAGTATTTTACTTCCCATTCTTCATTAAAAGCATGGCACTCATCATCAACTTTTCTTTTTCTTCTTTCCATGTTTAAACCTTAAAAAATAATATTGAACTTCAAAATAATTAATTTGTAATACATTAAATATGAATTTACACATACCGATTTACAAATGAGTCATGTGCAACAGAACAGAAGGCAATCCCGAAGTCAACTACAGAGATACAATGCTCTTGATTCTTTCTTTTTTACCCTCTATTTACTAATACAAAGACAGCCACAGAATCTGTGTATTCATATACCTTCGCTATTCACCTGCCTTCGTACCAATTTGGCAATTACCGAACAATAGCCCAAAACAATATTTTTACAACTGTAAATTTAAGTAAAATTTTGTGTATATAATTTTTCATTTTTATTATTTTTAAAATTAAAAATCTTTTTTTTTATCACATATGATTTTTGCATTTTTTTTTTTTCCTTCAATTTTCAATATACATTTTTGAAAATCAAACAGGTTTGCGCAAAAAAATCAGTATTTTTCAAAAACCTTCGCAGGCCAGGTCTGACTTGTGGGCCATAGTTTGGACATCTCTGGTTTAAAGCTATTAACTTTCAAATGGAAATGGATTTTTTTTTTAATGTTGTAATTCATCGGTGAACGTCTATTGTATTAGGTTATTATTATGATTTATTAAATCTACTGCTGGAGTCATAAGGTGATATGTTTATTACTATTTCTTATTCTCCAGTTAGATCTTATTTATTTATTAATTTTAATTTAGAATTTATGGAAGAAAAGAATCAATCTGAAGTGGAACTTTAATCTACAACTTCTGTATACCATGCATATGTATTGCCAGTTATATTACATAGACCCTGTCCAATCTTTGCTTCCAGAATTATTAATTTAGATATAACCATACAGGTCATTTATAGTCCTACTCTGGTCCAATTCTTTTCTTCCAGAAATTCTAAATTAAAATTAATTTATTATAATTATTAAAATTATCACAAGATGGCAAATTTACAGCTTACATTTAGACAAATTACTTCATATCTAATTATTAACTTGGCTTTAATTTATCAAAAGTTTAATTTTTGGAGTTGTTGTTGTTCATTGTTTCCAGCAAGTGAAACCAATAAAAGATTTTGCAATTAATAGTAATTGAAATTCTTACATATGATGTAAATAATGCAGTTTGATACATTTTATAATAAATATCACAGGAAAAATAATTAATCAAACAAACAAGCATTTGCAGTGTATATCCATATGAATAGCATTCAACATTAACGTAGTTTTGGAGCTTTTCCAAGGATTGAAATCATTCAATGTTTGATGATGATAACTTAAATTTAAGAAATAAAATATGAACATTAATCCTGCTAGTTTATTAGCTTGCATTACAGCCATTTAACAATGGAATACAAATCATGTAGTGTGAGATTAAATAAACTGTTGTATATGTTTAATATAATTTATACAAAATAAAATTAAGTAAATTAGTGAATATTTTATTACAGTTTATTTTTCTCCAAGGTTCTGTGGGAAAAATTTTAGAAGCAGCTCACCATGAACCAGAAAGCAATGTGTGGCCTTGGTTGTCTCAAATAACCATGTGAACAATTTTATACAAAGATAAACAACATCATTTTGCATTTGGATAATCCGGGAATGAATTAATAACTACATTTTTGAAATTGATTTTAATGGAAACAAGATGACAAATTCTTAGGAATGTCTTTTGTGAAGTAGTAGACAAACATTTATTTATGTCAGAACACTAAATCAGCACATCTAACATATATGGCCATGCTATTGAAGTTTGCACAGTGCTATTGTTAATAAAATATAAAACGAACTGTACATATGAAAATACTGTAATGTAAAACAATAAACTTGCATAAGCATTTGTCTAATTTTTTTGGAAGATTTACTCAAATACAATAAGTCTGTTTAAGTTTTCATCTTTCATTTGTGGGGGAGATAAATTTTTTAATTCTTTGAATTAGATAGCACAGCAGCATTGTTACATATTTTATTAAATGTTTGTTCTTATTTGACATAAATATGCAGATTATAATAGGCTGCATGGACCTAACTGTTGGCCATTAAGACAGACAGCTAGTTATTAACTTTCACAGTTGAATGTAAATGTTACATGAAAACAAAATATCATTTTTCCTTTCAAAAATCAATTTTTCAAAAAAATATTTCCTCAAAAATTGATGAAACTTCATGGGTTAATTCTACAGAAATAACCACCGTTTTTTTGCCTGGACCGCATTTAATCAGAGACAAAAGCTTATCTTCGTATTCTTTATTTACTTATTTACTATTCATTTCGGGTGCAATATTTTCGTGTAACTTGTACCCCTCTTCAGGTTTTTTCACATTTCTATAGATTGGTAAATTCAATTATTTACATTTGTTATTACGGTAAATTACAACAATACANTATTTATCGTTTTATGACGAGTAAAATTTTTTCGTCGCGTTCGCAGGTTTTAAGTAATGCATAAACCTTCGAGGCGCGAGGCATAGGCGGTGGCCCACGTCGTCCATGCCTTACGCCGCCCTTGGTCATAGAAATGATGTAATTTCAATATAAATTATTTATAAATACTGTACGTATGTCAAGTTATATTTTTATTACTACGTAAAATATATTTAAGAGTTTACGACCACTGTGCTGGGTGAGACGTTGTTAAAACAAAAAAAGTTATGCATTCCATCACGTACATAAACAGTGTCGTAATTCGCCAAGTGCAAATCAGCAAATTCGTAAAATTTTTGTTTATTTTGAACAGTCCGGATAATCGAAAATCCGGATAATGGAGGTCCGGATAATGGAGGTTTTACTGTAAATATAATAAATTTAAAAATACCAGGATGAAGTGAAAATTATAGTTTTAGGAAAAAAGATAACACTGATACCACCAAAATCAAAATACCAACCTCATGATTACAAAACTGGTGTGCCCCCATCAAGTCACTGGCCACTATGCAAATGATGGACATTCTAATAGTTTTAAGTGATTTGTAATTTTTGATCTGAATTTTCTTGTTTAGAGTATTGCACTTACTGCTTGGCACATGTCAGTCATTGGGAATGTACTATAATCTCACCAAATTTGATCATAATCAGTGACTTGAACATCATGCCCCTCGTAAGCAAACATATTGGCTAGCTGCTAATATAATTAGGTTATTGATTTTAAATTTTGCCATTTGTTATGACTTGTTTTATTAATATTTTAAGTTGTTTAAAAAATTTTTTGATAATTATTTATGATCTTATAATTTTATGCATATCAGATTTTGCTGTAGCTGATATTTTTTTACTTATGACTTTAATTTTCATATTAACTACAGATATTGGCTACAGCTGGTACTGCAGTTAGGAGGAGGACTTGCTATTTTAGGAATTATACTATTTGTGGAAAGTCCACAGACAGAAGTAAATATTTTTGGTTTAATTTGAATTTTAAATTGAAATTTGTTTTTTATTAGATTTGAATATGTATAATAATAATAATAATAATAATAATAATTGAAAACAGAAATGACAAATAAGGAAAAAAATCTGTTGCAGAAAATTATTAAAACTTTTTGTATTCATATTTTTTATTAATGTGTTTAATTTTTGTATATTTTTTCTTTAAAGACACCAAATTCTTTCATTCCATCGAAATGTATAAATTTATCAAAAACTATTGTTGATAACAGAAGATACAACCAGTTATTATCAATTTTTGTTTTACTAGTCATCTATATTTGCTGTATTACACCTATGGTAAGAAAATGGTTTTTTTAAATTTTTCTTTTACTCTTAAAAACACAGCCAGGCTTGTAACATTAATATTTCTACAAATTTTGTACTTTTAAATTGGTATTAGTTATATGCATTTCACATTTATTAATCTTTCCTAAAAATATTAATGTTGTAAACCCAAGATTTGAGTGTGATTATACTTTGGCAAATAAAAGAGATGTTCCAGTTTTTAGATAATATAGAATAAATATTTATTTGATTGGGCTTTTACAATTTGAAAAAATTGTAGACATATAAATTCCCATTGTTGTTCGTCCATTGTCTGTCCTTCCTTAATCTCAAAAATGTTGTTAAATAGATGAAAGTCAAGACCAGATTTGGAAAGCTTAGGGTAGGAAGCCTTGATTAACTATATATGAACATCATGTCTAAACCATAAGTTATGTGAATTCAATTCAAAAATTTTTTCCTGAAAGGAGTTAGATTAATAACTGTCACAACTCTATTGCTAGCAGGAAAAGTATGATGTACAGGGGAAAGACACTACTAATTTGAGGTGAAGAACATATATTTTAAATTGAATAGATTAAGAATATGATTAAAAATTGCAGCTCAGCATTGTACAATGTCACAATAAATAATTGCTCATTTTAAGTTTAGACTTTATTATTAAAGTTACAAAGTATAGAACTGCTAATATTTTTACCCCTTTTTAAATGAATAACGTATTCATTAAAAAGAAAAAAATATGATAGTATGATTTAAAATTTTTTTAAATGTAATAAAAGTTATAAAATAAATTCATTAAATTAGATTTTTTTCAAGTTCACAAATCTTATTTAAGAAATAAAATGATTATTTTATTATTGAAACAAATTTTTTGAAGTTTCTTTTTACCCTATGGGCATGAAGGAATTATTTTTATTTTATCCATTATGGGTTTGGCTAGGCCCAAAATGTGCAACACTGAGTGGTGAGGTATGTGGCTTGACATATCCAGGTTAGTTGTTTCATGAAAAATTCCTGGGGCCATTTATCTGGATTTAATTCTGAATCTCTTGGAGTGGTAGGTGAATCTTTAGCCATTTCAGCCATTTGGCCATCCATTTTCAATAATTATTTTATATCAGCCATTAATATTCTAAATTTAAAATACTGAAACAATTTATTTATTAAAATGAGAAGTGATTAGGTTTTAATTGTAACATGAAGAATTTAGAAAACTTGGTTTGAATAATTAACAAATGTTTAAAAAAAAATTATGTGAATAAGTTTAATTTTTAACAGTCATTTAAATCAATCATGATTGAAATAAAAATTTATTTAAAAACGTTGTTATATGATTAAAAAATTATTATTGTTGTCTGTAGGATATCACATAATTTCATTTAAAATATTTTATTTAGTCGCTAAATCAAATGCTTATATTATAATGATTCTCTATTTTAAAATGTGTTCTCTTATATTTCATTCTGTTTATAAGTAAATAAGTATTTCTTTCATCAAAAAATAAAGAATTCTTTTTTATGGATTTATAAATTATTTTATATTACAATTCAATATGTAATATTTTTGTTTAATGAGTTACTCTTAATTATTAATTGGATAAAAACTAATTTTATGATTCTTTTAGTTTCTGTTAGATATAACCCATTCTACTGGCTGCTGGCAGCTACACTTAAATTTTTCCAAATTAGTTACATCTATAGAAAATGGTACATTAAAATGTGAAGATTTTCTCCTGAATGGATTTACAGATGTAAGAACTTTTTCAATTATTAAAGAAATTATTAACATTTATTTTTAAGAATATTTTATGAATTATTAAATAAAAAAAGTGAAATCCCATTTAATGTGTATCTATAACACAAATTTGTATGATGTGACAAAAAAATTGCAACTTGTATGCCTAAATAATTTTAATTTTGTCTTCCAACATTATGCATTTTCTTCAACTTCTAGGTCTAGGTTTAAATTTGAATAAAATCATCTAATAATGCATGTCTTGATAACACAATTTTCTAAAATGTGGAACGTACCCTCTCATATTATATGGGACTCCACTGTATTCTGTTTTATTTATTTTATATTAAGACTAATAGCATGTGATTTTTTAAAAATATATTTTAATTGTATTATAAGTAGCTTCCGAATTTAAGATAATCTAATTCAGATAAAATTCAGATAGGGTAGTTAAATGCATTTTTCAAAATGCTGTTGCTATGATATTATAATCACTTATTAGTGTTGTTATTACATTGCACTAATAAAGTTTCATTTTATGCCAATGCCTCCTGCTTTGTGTATAAGGAGGAGGTATAGAAGTTAAATTAAGCAAGAGATCTAAACCATCAAAGAATTTAGAATGTATACTACAAAATAAAACTATTGACAAATTCACTAAAGTTATTTCTCTAAAGTTAAAAAAAAACAGTAAATTACTAATTAAAATTAACAGACCAGAGTTTAAAGTATTTTCAGTTTACATTGCCATTAAAAATATTTATTTAACTAACTAGTTAAATAGTTTGATAAAAATTTAATTCATTACAATAATAATAAAACACTTCATATTTTAAAATCTCTTTCTTTTTCATTAATATTTTAGTCTACTAATAACAATGAAACAAGGCTAATTTTCAAGTATTTTAAACAGACTTATGAATGTATAATGTAAATTCAGAAATTTAGTTTATTCCATCATTAAAATTTTTAAAATAATGTCATATTACATATATATGTAAACAACTGAAGAGGAATGTATAAATTTGAAATGCCTTTTTCAATCATATCAGAACTTTACATGAATTAAAATAAAATTTCTCAAATATGAACCAATATGAAATAGCTACCCATATTTCTTGAATATGGGTAATTTCTGGATATCTAATTAAATTGAAGTTTGGTATAAAAACAATAAAATTTTAATTAAAAACTTGAACATTGGCTAGCTGCTAATATAATTAGGTTATTGATTTTAAATTTTGCCATTTGTTATGACTTGTTTTATTAATATTTTAAGTTGTATAAAAAATTTTTTGATAATTATTTATGATCTTATAATTTTATGCATATCAGATTTTGCTGTAGCTGATATTTTTTTACTTATGACTTTAATTTTCATATTAACTACAGATATTGGCTACAGCTGGTACTGCAGTTAGGAGGAGGACTTGCTATTTTAGGAATTATACTATTTGTGGAAAGTCCACAGACAGAAGTAAATATTTTTGGTTTAATTTGAATTTTAAATTGAAATTTGTTTTTTATTAGATTTGAATATGTATAATAATAATAATAATAATAATAATAATTGAAAACAGAAATGACAAATAAGGAAAAAAATCTGTTGCAGAAAATTATTAAAACTTTTTGTATTCATATTTTTTATTAATGTGTTTAATTTTTGTATATTTTTTCTTTAAAGACACCAAATTCTTTCATTCCATCGAAATGTATAAATTTATCAAAAACTATTGTTGATAACAGAAGATACAACCAGTTATTATCAATTTTTGTTTTACTAGTCATCTATATTTGCTGTATTACACCTATGGTAAGAAAATGGTTTTTTTAAATTTTTCTTTTACTCTTAAAAACACAGCCAGGCTTGTAACATTAAAATTTCTACAAATTTTGTACTTTTAAATTGGTATTAGTTATATGCATTTCACATTTATTAATCTTTCCTAAAAATATTAATGTTGTAAACCCAAGATTTGAGTGTGATTATACTTTGGCAAATAAAAGAGATGTTCTAGTTTTTAGATAATATAGAATAAATATTTATTTGATTGGGCTTTTACAATTTGAAAAAATTGTAGACATATAAATTCCCATTGTTGTTCGTCCATTGTCTGTCCTTCCTTAATCTCAAAAATGTTGTTAAATAGATGAAAGTCAAGACCAGATTTGGAAAGCTTAGGGTAGGAAGCCTTGATTAACTATATATGAACATCATGTCTAAACCATAAGTTATGTGAATTCAATTCAAAAATTTTTTCCTGAAAGGAGTTAGATTAATAACTCCTTTCAGGACACTACTAATTTGAGGTGAAGAACATATATTTTAAATTGAATAGATTAAGAATATGATTAAAAATTGCAGCTCAGCATTGTACAATGTCACAATAAATAATTGCTCATTTTAAGTTTAGACTTTATTATTAAAGTTACAAAGTATAGAACTGCTAATATTTTTACCCCTTTTTAAATGAATAACGTATTCATTAAAAAGAAAAAAATATGATAGTATGATTTAAAATTTTTTTAAATGTAATAAAAGTTATAAAATAAATTCATTAAATTAGATTTTTTTCAAGTTC